CAATTTCATAGAGCTTTTTATGCACTGCAACCTCTCCTTTCTTTCTTCCAAGGAGCCCAAGGCAGCACGCATGACCCTCCTTTGTTCTATCCCATCCTCACAACAATCCTGTAAGTCAGGGACTGGCTTCCAGCCAGGACCACCCAGATCGCCTGAGCCCCTGAGAGCCAGACGGATCCCTAAGCCTGGGACCACCATCCCAGTCCCCCGCTTTGCCCTGGTGAGCCAGACAAAAGAGCGCCATGTGGTTTGGTGGGCTGGGAAAAGGGGGCGAAACACTCCAGCCGGTGGGTACCTGGTGCCCTGAAAGCAGAGCCAACAGCATGCTTGGGGGGCTTCCGTGTGCCTGGGGGGTGCAGCCTCCTCGAAGGAAGGGTCACCAGCTGGCTAGAGGGATGGAGCCTTGCCAGAGGAGAACCCAAACCCGGGATCAGGGCCGTCTTAACAGCATTATGGGCCCCGGGCAAAGCAGTTTACCGGGGCCCCTAAGACAACTCCAACTACTGTTAATTTTGGAAGTTTTCCAATTTTCCAAGGGTTAACATACACAGATTAGTATGGGGCCCACGAGCAAGTGCCCATCAGGCCCATGCGTTAAGACGGCCCTGCCCGGGATGGTTTCTTAGTATGGAAAGACACCTGGGCGCGGTTGGTTTGGGGTCGCCTTTCCTGCCGGAAGATCCAGGCCCAGGGCACCTGGAGACCAAGAGCGAGAAGAAGAGGGCGTAAGAAGCGAATGGGCGGAAGCGAGGGCGCACAAGCGGGAAGGAAAAGGAGCGCTTGAATCTCAGGAGAAGCCCCGAAGGCTGAGTCCCTTAAGGGCCACCTCGCCGGATGAGGCGGCGCCGCTTTCGCAAGCCCTCCTTGCCCTCTTCGCCCGCCTCTGGTTCTGCTTCCCCCAGCCGCTGCTGGAAAGGGCTGCCGAAGGGGTCGGGGTCCCTGCCGGGCGGGCGGCGCAAGCCAGTGGATGCTGCGCCCGAGATTGCGCGGCGCGGTGCGCTCGGAGGGCTCGAGGAACGGGGAGCTGCGTCTCGCCAGGCCAAGGGCTGCGGTTTCCCTCGCCCGGCGTGTTGGGAAAGGTTTCTCTCCCGCAGCCTCTTTGGATTTCAAAGTGATCCACACGTCTGAAGAGAGAGGGAAGCGGGGGGGGGGGGGGGGCATCTGAAGAGGGAGGGGAGCCTGGCATGCCCCAGAGGCACCACTTCTGAAAACTTTGAAGATTGGGTGAGGGTCGCAGAACCCCCTCTCCTTTTCCCAGTAGGATTCCCAGCGCCCCTGAACTTGTCAGCGGTTCGGGTTTCCCAGCGATGAGCAGGAAGCTTAGGAGGAAGCGAGGACAAGGTTGGATCCATGCTCGTAAAAGTAGACCCACTGGCGTCAGTGGGTTTTTCGGTAGTCAGGAAATCCCATTGATTTCAGTGGTCTACTTTTGAATGGAACTTCACTGGATCTGCTTCAGGTGTGCGCAGTTCCAGATCCAAAGCACAGTGGAGACGCACTCCCGGGCGAGCCTTGGATTCAGGCCGTGCGCTTTGCGCTGCTCTTGGGCTCGCTTCGGAGGCAGCATGTGCCGCAGCGCTTCTCTCACACCCTGCTGCGACTCTTACCTCTCTTTACTCAGAATTAAATTCCGCTGGGTTGCACTGAGGCAAGCATCTTAGGATTGTGGGCAGCCCGTGTCTGTTCAGGCGTTCATGCCAGCGGCTTCAGTAAGGCTTGCTTCTGGATCTGCGGCGACCGCGTTGCGCCCTCACCCTGCGCTTTGTGGCTGAGCTCATAAGCTTTCGGTTCTCGGCTCTGAGCATGTTTCCCAAGGTTTTGCACTGGGCTTGCGGCGTGTTGTCCGCAGCGGTGGCCTTCCTCTCATTTATTTATTTTACTTCTCTGTGTGTATTTTACCCGCGTGTATCCTCATACGGAAGACCTCCACTCCCTGCTGCTACGCGGGCCACCTCTAGTCCGCCTTCCTTCCTCAATGGAACGTTTAATTGAATCTCATTGTGGTTTTATTGTGATTTGCTGGATGCTGTACCATTTTTAATCTGTGTTTGTGGTAAACCGGCCCGAGACGCTAGTAATGGGACGGTCTAGAAAAGCTTTAAATAAGTAAGTAAAATTTCTCCTCTTCCTTCCCCTGGGATCGAAATTTAGATTTGTAAGCTCCTCGGGGCAAGGGACTGTCCTTTCTGCTCCCACTCAAGAATGCCCCCCCCCCGCCGCATTATATCCCTCTGTAAAGGGCCACGTTCACGGATGGCTCCGCTAAGCCAAGAGCGCCGCGCCCCCCGGCAGGAAAAGCGTCTCGGTCTTTCTCACACGAGGGCGAGCAATAGCTGCGCGCCTGAGCAGGCTGCCGTTTGCACCCGCCGCACTTCGGTAGATCCGGCAGGAAACTGCAGCGACGCGCGGCGCCCGCTTCGGCCGCCCGTCGCGGTGGCTTCGCAGGAAGGCGCGGAGCGTGCGCGCTGCTCCACTCCCCGCTTTCCTCTGTCGTTATTGTAAACAAATACACCGCATCGAGGCCCTTGATCTCGGTTTAAATATAGACTTGTTTATCGGTGTCATCCTAGGCAGATTAATTAGATACATTTATTCGCAATTTGGTGTCTGGCACCCCCATTTTAGGAATGCCTTATCACAAGGTGTTAATTGGGGCCAGCCAAGCACTTACGGTTCCATTAAATAGTGTGAGGACTTTTCGCAGGTTTTTTCCCCTCTCTTCTCCCCTCCCCTCCCCTCCCCTCCCCTCCCCGGGTTTTTTTCTTCTGCTTCTTTATTTCTGTTCATCGAGCAGAGTCGCGCACGAATAGACGGGGCGCGTGGAAACACCGCTGTAGAGGAGTGTTTGGTACCCCAGAAAGGGGACTTTAGGGGAAACTGAGCGGGTGAGGAGCCAGAGAGAGAGGGAGGCCGAGAGGGCGACCGGTGGGGCTGATTGTCAGAAAGAGCATGCCTTCCCTCTTCGTGCTGACAAATATTTGGGTGCCGCCTAGTTGTGTCATTCCCAAAGATCCGGGGTCACACTGTATTGCATCCCGACAGAAGAGCGGGCAAACCTTGGCAAGACACGGAAGTCTCTGGTGTGACTTCTGTGGAACCCGAGAGCGAGAAAGTTTCAGATTCCCATCCCGTTTCTCCGTCTCTTCCCCCACCGTGTAGAAGAATTCGAGCACTCCAATTCGTTCAACAAGCTACACGCGTACAAATGAAAGTACACGTGTAATGCGCCCCGATCCAAATTTCTGCAGAAGTCCCGCTGGGTTCAATGCGCGTTTACTGCTAAGTAAGCAACGAATTCAGATTTTAGTTTTTATTTGCAGATCGCCCGCATAATTCTGTTTCTAAGAATCAGAATGCAACCTTGCCTGTCTACCGTAAAAGTTAAGTCCCGGTCTAACTTACGGAATAAAATACCTCTAGAACCAGATCAATGCAAAATAAATCTAGGACGTCTCGTGATCCACACAACCCGCGGCAAAATCTTTGGAATGAAACCGGGTTATAGCCTCACCTTTCCCACGACAAAACAAACAGCAAAACTTCTCCGGCGTAGCTCAGCTTCTCCGAGCCAAACCCTTCTCGTTAATCGGGTCGTTGAAAGTCGCGTTTAAATGGATCAAAGCGCTTGATAGCAGTTGGCTTGTGGAGCGCCTAGACCATTTTGAAGTCCTTGATCCTTTTGAGAGTGGCTTGAAAACGCACCGGCACCAAAACCGAAGCAGAGGCGCTGGGAAAATAAAAGGAACTCGCTCCTCGATTTAAACTGGGGGCCAACTGGGTTAAAATGAGAGCCCCCGAGCAGGGCGAAGGATCCAGTGCCACGAGAAACGGAACGAATTCCCGCCAGCTTTCTGGAAAAGAAAGCGTCAGACCCTTGTTCGAGGCCATCGCGATTCGGTTCCTCTTGGAACAAAGCACGGGGGGAAAAGCGGCGTGCCAAGCCGTGAGGAGGCTGCGCGAGGATAATCGCAGGAAAAGGCCCCTGGCGAGGGGCGCGCTGAGCATCCCGCCTGGGGACGCCTCTCCCGAGCTAGCTGGCACTTACCTTTCGGGAACCGCGGGCTAAGACGGCGTCGCGGCGGGCCCTCAGTCCTGAGGCTGCATCCAAGCAAAACTCCAGCGGCAAAACGCGCCGTGAGCGCCAAAGGCCCTGCCTTGCTGCGGCTTCTTGATGCCTCGGAGCAGAGCCAGACGAATGCCCCTCGTGTAGCAAAGCAGGCAGCACGAGCCTAGATTTAAGTCAAGTGGCACCCAAAGGCTTTTTCACCAGACCTCATCAATGCATTATGGGAGCTCCGTGTGTGCGTGCGTGCGTGCGGGGGGGGGGGGAGGCCAAGACCCCCTCCCCCCAGTTCAGTGGAAGCGGAGAGGGGGGCTTCTCTCAAAGCAATATGCACAGACCAAATTATACATCTTACACAGATCAGAGTTTGGATGACATTTCTCCTCCCAAGTTTGCTTACTGGTCTCAGCTGAGCCTAGACTACCCTTTCTCCTTCAGCACCAGCAGGAAGAGGGAACCAGCTTTAGCAGCTAAGCACCTTGTCCAAATTGAAATAAGGCCCAGTGGAGCAGTACCTGGAGGCAATATTCAATCTCACTTGCTTCTTGTTCTGCCATTTCAGACCTATCGGAGAGCTTGAGAACAGAAGGAAAGAGGCCCAGCTGTCTTTGAGTCTGTAGTGCGGCAGTTAAGGAACGGAGTCGTGGCAGGCCAGGTCTTGGAAAGGGGTCTCTTCTTCTTCACCCCAACCATACAAGCTCCTACCATACCACTACAAATCTGCCTCATCATTGTACTCCTGCTATGCTTGGGAAATAAACTTGGATGTTCACATAAGCTGAAGAACCTCCTTGGAAACATGTTATGCATAAGCACTCCAGTATCTTCTGTCAATCATTCTTTGTAGCTTTCCTTATGGCAGAAAAAGTAAAAAGCAGGTCCTGTCATTGCAACACATTTATTAAAAATTATGTACAGACAGAAGCCCCACGCCAAAATAAAACTAATGCTTTGCTTTAGTCTTTTGCCACCTCAACATCATCTGATAAGAGTATTTACAGACGGAGCAACAGGAGTTACAACACACTTTCCATTTAGAACAGCTGAAAAATACATTCACCACCTACCAATAAATAGATATTTTGATGTACTCTCAGCTTCAGTGGCCACTGTCAGATTAGAAGTTGTTTAAATAAAGAACTCCCAACACACACCAGCTTCAGACACCCAACTGCACTGCCATGACTACAACTATAACAGAATGCTTTGTCATAGTCTACAATATACCTAGACACAGAGCTGTACATAATACTGGTTTTTGTGTTTGTTTTTTGCTACCTTTGTAGGATTCCTTCACTGCCATAACTTTCTGCCAAGACATTTAGAGTCTCCTAAGACAGGACAAAGCAAGGTTTTATCATTAAAGGAAGAGTTTGATTTTTGGTTCTTGCGTATTTCGTAAGAAATGCCTCCATAGAAAAACCCTCTGTTTGGAATATGTCCACTCTTTAGCAGTGATAACAAATCCAATAGGGTAGGAATTTATTCAAGAAGCACCTGCTCTTCCCTCACTCCGGGAACCTTGAAATAGCTTGGTAGTGCACAGCACTTACCCATTGGCCAAACTATACATCTTTAACACCCCACCTTTCCTCCAGTCTGCCTAGACCCTCCCTCACATCTTCTTGGTAGGGGGGAGGAAAGAGACCATGGTTCCTTTTAGTGCTACCCTGTTTCTTCCCTTTTTACCTGCAGAAATCAGTCAAAACTTTGGCACCTTCTATAGAATTGCACAAGTACATTGTCAAAACGGTGGAAGGTAAGAGTTCCTTTGGCAGTGTTTATGCCAGAGGACTCTGCACCACCACTGAAATTACAGACAGTCAAGTTTTAACATGAGACCAGTACTTAGCACATTAAGAACTGGTATAGAATGCGTAGTAACCCATGCCTTTAGAAGTGTCTTTGCCATAGTCCTCAGCATTAATGTCCTCACACTTCATTGTTGGAGAATTTTCATTGCTGGACGTACTTGGGGAGATTCGCCGCCTTTTACAAGCACCAGTGTAGACTCCAGAATCATTTGAATCTAGAGACTTTATGGAGGGTGGGGTCTCTATCCAGGATGAGCCCATTTCTTCTTTAACCTTTTCCTTAGAAATCAGGTCTTCAGAGAAACCTGGAGGGCTCGTTCTGGAGGTCCAAGGTAAGCCAGTAGACACTTTCCGCTGGTAAGAGCCTCTGCTCCCCCATCCTGCCATGGAGGAGAACGTTGGATCAGGGTAATATCCCAGAGCATGGGATGTCTGAAGGGGAAGGGATTTGATACCATATGGAAGTAAAGTACTAGGAGAATAATCAGTTTCATAGGAGTTCATGTCCAGTTTGTTGGCCCCAGGCTGCTGAACTGGAGTAACAAACCACCTCTGAGGAGGATTGGTCACCTCTTCGTTCTGTTGAGGAGAGAGGAGGCCATTTGTCTGAGGTACAGTCCTTTCCCCATTATAGAATCTAGCTGGAGGCAGGTTGTTGACAAATTGTTCCTGGAAGAAGGGTTGTACGCTGTACCGGGCTCCTGGGACAATCTGGTGGGATCTAGGAGAATCCGTGGGAGATGGAGTTAATCTGTCATTTTCAGAAGCTGTGTACATGCTACAAATATAAGAGAGAAATGCTAAGGTACTGTTCTTTACCATTTAGAAAGCTGGCATTAACATGCAATGAGACTGAATTATTTACCAAGGACAGGACACCAGGCTGTTTATTTCATCTTCAGGATTAAGTCAACCAACCCAGTATCCAATTTTGGAGTCTGACAAATCTCATTTTAAAAAGCAACGTTAACATTTCTAATGCATATGAGAAGCATTTAACCTTTGGCTAGACTATTCTTTAAATTATCAAAGATAACTTTGAGGGGTGCAAGATTAGATGCTGTTCCAGAGTAGTGTCTTATGCTATTTCCAGTTTCTAAGCATATAGCCAACTGTTCCTACTGCCAAGTCCAACTTACTCTAAGCAGTAAGCTCACTGAGTTGAATGGGACTTACTTCCAGGTAAGTGTGTCTAGTATTACTGTATCTGTTAAGAGGACCCGGAGGAGTTTCTTTTAATTAGTATCTGGATGTAAATAAAGTTAACTAGTTTGATTAGAAGCATGTTCCACTGATTTCAATATAACTTACAGCCAAGTAAATTATGCTGAAGATTGTTGCTAACAGCTAGAAGTAGCCTTGTTTTTGTATATTTTAACCCAAAGTTTTTAATATAAACAGTGGTAGTACACAGATACAAGTATGCTACTTACGAATCATAGTTGTCCCGAAAGCCTTTTGCAAAGGGATTATGATCAATTTTAAGCTGTGTGATCTGTAAAGTGAAACATGTAAAAAGCCTGTATTTAGGTATCACAAATTATAGCGATAATTCCTCTTGTAACTGAAAAAGGAGGAAAGGTGCTTATATAGAAATTTGTTTTTTTTTTCCTAAAGAAATGCAGGCATGCTAAATTATATCTAGAGATCTGCTAAAACAAGCCATTTATTATTAACACTAATATTAAAAAGGTTGATTTCTCAGTCTGTTGGCTTCCTTGATTTTATCAATTAATTTAAGAAGGGTCTTGCTATAACATACTGTACTAGTGTGTTTATCTGAGGTAAGTATATTTTATTCTTACATCAGTGTTCTGATATGCAGTAACAGCTATGAACTGAGTTTCAGGAAAGTTAAATGTCTGTGTCTTAGATGAGTCATTAATATCCTCCACACCATCTTCGGTCACTTCTACTATATGAAGACGAGGCTGGTATTTGTGCAGAGACTGCAGAACTATCATCTGGAAAAACAAGAGTTTAGTCTGCAATAGTCAAACATGATTTACAATCAATGATTACATCTCGTCCAAAATACAGAGCACGTGAACACTGACTTTACAAGTGTCTAATATGGGTCCGTCCCCATTACATATTTTCTGCCCCCATGCCAGTTTATGATCTTTTTAAAGGACAAAATCGAGCCATGAATACTATTTAATACCATTAATACAATTCCAGAGAATTCCATGTTTACTGCAGACCCACTTCCAAAATTCACTGTATTTGATTTGCACTTCACTCTTCTACCAAGAAAAATGGCACTCAGAGCAGTGTAGCTTCCATCCGGCTGTGTCCCCTGCCACCAACTCCAGCCTGTTCATCTCAGTACTTTCTATATACCAACCAACAACTTACCTGGGTATTATTATTATTGGCCCCTTTGTTATTCGTGAGTTTCAGTTTTCCAAAGGAAATTTCCTGCCTCATCCAGTGGGCTCCGGTGTTGGGAGATTCAGGATGAACATAAACTTTGTTGCCTGTTGGAGGGGGAGAAAAGCAGAGTCTTTTTCTTCTGCCACCTCAGCACACCGAAGAGGCTTAACTTCCAGAGAAGACATGGCACCAACGTGTATACAAGCTTGTACTAGGCAGTCAGGACTGGCCCCCAGGCAATGCTGACCTCACTCTTGCACATCTGGATTAATTAAGATAAGCAGCCTTTCAAAGGTGATCAGTCTGTCAGGCCAAAATACAATCAGCAGTATATGAAGAGAAAGGGGAAGAGGCTGATCTTCCCTATGTTTCCAAGGTGTGTGGAAGAAGCAGAGATCTTAAAACCACCCCACCCACATCCAGTTCTCAGAGCAGCCTCACCACTTGGCTTCTCAGAAGCCATTTCCTAAACAGCCATATAAAAAGGCACGACTCGTTTCAGGTGGAGTGTTACCTTCGTGCATGGGACAAACACTAAGGGGTGGTTGCTATAATATTCTGACCAGTCAAGAGAACTGCACAGCAATTGTGGGTTGAACGGAGGGAGGGGCAGAGCAGGCTGACAACAGGGGACAGTGAAGGTCCACCTCAGAGGGTCCACTCTGATCCTGGGCCTGCACCTACCTTGCATATTGTTGTCCGCTTTGCCACAGGTCACCCATTTCCCCCCCTGGAAGCGCCAGTGGTTGGGATCTGCCAGCACCACCTCCACAAAGACATTGTAGTGGGCTGTGGGGTTGAGGCCTGTGATGTTGAAACTCAGGAAAGGAAACATCCGCCTAGAATTGGAAAGTGAGGCTTTTAGAGGAAGGGAAGGCCTTGCATCAGAAGGTCCCCCTCCCCCACCAAGGTCCTTTGGCAGTGCACTCCAGCCTTGGCTAGGACCTGGGCTGAGAATGGGAGGCAGATGGTGGCCCCCCTCCTGGGTTTTATATTTAGAGAGTTGCCATGAGAGCTTTTGGCTCCAAGTCTCTTTCTCTCTCCTCTGAGCAAGACAGTGGCTGGCTCAAAAGATGAGATCAAAGAAAAGAGGGCAGATATAATTTCCCCCCAAAGATGCTCTGAAGCCCAGGGTGGTTGTCCCCACCAGTCTCCCAGTTGTGTCATATATAGAGGTAGATCTTTCACTACTAGTCCAAGGACTGAGCTTTTCCATTTTTAAAAGTTATATCCAGAGTTAGTCCTCATTTCAATAGGTCTACTGTAATTAAGAGGATGCATGTTAGCCATAGCCAATGTACGTTCCATTAATTTCAGTGGGTCTACTCTAATTAGGACTAACACTGGAGACAACCCGATTTTTCCTAGACTTTCTGGACATAAATTAATGGCTCGTTTTCTAAAACTGATAGGGACCTCTTCATATATTTCAGCTATAAACCCAAGTTTACTTAGGGGAATACTGGGAGAAGAAAACAACAGCACCTGCTTGGAAATAAACACACTACGGGATTGGGAAAGTTTTTGTTTCTTAAATTTCAACCCATAGCCCAATCATCTCTGAAATCCAAAAATGTAGATTTGTCCAGTTTTGGTTGCAAAATATCCTAGGGATTGCCTTTCCTTGTCCGCTCGACTTACGATTCAGACCTCAGAAGGAAGGACCTCCTGCTGATCTCAAACGAATTTGTTAGCAGGAAACAAATTTGGGAATCAGGATGTTAAGGGTTCTTAGCTGAAGTCAACTCGGAAAGCAACTGATCTTTTTAATTAGGTGTGCATAATCCATACACCCCAATCTTTTTTCTTCAAAGTCTAAGTTCCAGCGTGTTCGGCGGCAATTCAGACGCTAAATTTCACAGCACAGTCGTCGGCACTTTAACTAACGCAAAAGCACGTCCGACGACGTTCAACGAAGCTTTCCCCCAGGTAAGTGTGCATAAAGTCTAACTTGAGAGTAGCTACGGGAAAGAAACACACTAGTCTGGAGAAACGGGAAGAAACGAGGCGGAGCGGGGCGAGCCTGGTCAGGTGGGGAAAAATAAAACAGGCAAGACGGGCACGAAGCCTCTGAAAACCAACTCTGACCCACTCCTTGAGGACGCTTCTCCGTACTCGGAATTGAACAGGGCAGGGCCAAATGGGCCATTCTGGTTCCTGCGGCTCTCTGAACGGCTACCGGGCGGAATCAGCATTGCGAAGCCCGATGCGAAGCGGCGGACTCCCTCACCCCGTCCAGCCAACGACTAGCGCGCCCCGGGGAGCCCGAGGGCGCTCCCTGCAGGAGCCTCTCCCGGGCTGGGGAGCGGCCACCCCGCGCAACGCGGACCGCGCAGGAGCTGGGATGTCAGGGCCCCCCCGCCCCCCGCAGGGCCGGCGCGCCCCCGCGTACCTGCCCTGCTTGGTGATGATCATCTCGGTCTGGTGCCGGTGGAACTTGAGCCAGAGGGGGCGGTTGCAGAGGAAGACCTGGGCGCGGAGCCCGGCCGCCCCCCCGGGCATCGCCAGGCCCCCCAGTCCGCCGCAGGAGCCCGCCGCCGCCGGCGGCGGGTACGGACTGTAGAGGCCGCCCGGAGGGCCCCCTTGGCCGTACTGGTACGCGCCGGCCGGGAAGGACGTCCTGCCGGCCGCCGCGGAGAAGCTCCCCGGCGGCGACAGCACCGAGCCGTAGGGGTAGCGCGCCCCGCCCGGCGCCTGGTACATGGAGCCGGGCTGGGCGCCGCCGGCCGCTCCCGCGTACGGGAAGAGGGCGCACGGGCCGCCCAGCTCGGCCCCCGCCTGCGGGCCGGGCGACTGCAGGTAGTAGCGCTCGGGGCTCAGGCCGTCCAGCGCGTAGCGCGCGGGCGCGGGCGCCGGGGGCAGCGCCTCCTCCTCCGCCGGGCACGGCGAGCCCTTGCGCGCGCCGTCCGGCGCCTGGGCCGCCTTGGCGGGCACCTGGCCGGCGGCCGCGGCGAAGGGCGCCGTCTCGCCCGCCGCCTCCGCGTCGCCCAGCAGGCCCGCTGTCACCGCCGGCCCCGCGGCCGCGCCGAACTTCTTCGGGCCCTTCTCCAAGTCGAGGCGCGGCGGCGGCGACCCGGAGCCCAAGTGGCGCGCGGAGGAGCCGCCGCCGCCGCCGCGTCCGCCCGCGCCGTCCAGCGGGTAAAAGGGGGCGCCGGGCAGGCTGGCCGCGCTGCCCAAGAGCTGCTCCCCCAGCTGCATCCCGCCAGCCGCCGCTCCCCTCGAAAGTCCCTCGACTTTGCGGAGAGGCGCAGGCTGCGCGCGCCTCACAACGCCCCAGCCCTCAGCAAGGTCCTCGTTTCCCAGCGCCCGTGAGAAACCGCGTAAAACAGGCCCCGACCCGCCTTCTGTGGAGGCGCCCTCCCTGGAAGCCCCCCCGCCAGCCCTCGTCCCTCTAAAACCATCCCAGTGACTGCACGGTGGACCGCGCTCGGGAGCGCTTATATAGGCGCGTGCGCGCGCACTCCCGCTCCCCCTTGAGCGCGAGGAGGGGCTTGGGGGCGGCTCCATTCGCAGAGGAACCTCTCCTCTCCTCGTCCACCTATTGGCTGATCTCGCAGACTCTAATTTAATTAGACAGTTACTAATTGGAACAAGTCACCTGTGACTCCTGGGGTGCATGTGTGTTAAAAGACTACCCCCCCATCCAAATAACCCATTTTCCATTCTTTTGAAACGACTCCTGATGGGCCAGGAGACCTGGGCTGTGCGTGTAGGCCGGATCTCGATTTTCTTGGGCGAAGGGGGCAGGCGAGACTGCTCCGAGCTTGGCCTTGACCTGACCGGAAGGAAGGGAACTCACCAAACTCTGTCGGCGGTTTCTTTTCAAGCAGCGGCCTGGTGCTTCGAGAGCCTTTGAAGGCCAGAAATCCACTTTTCGGGGTGGTGGGAGGAGAGATGAAAGCCGAGCCGCGGCATCCGCGCTCAGCGGTGCCGTCTGCAGCCTCCGAGGAGCCATCTCCCCAAAGACGCGGGGGGCCTCCCTTCCCCGGTGGCTTGAAGGGGATGGCGCGGGCACGGTTCGCCAGCACCGCCTTCGCGAAGAGCGGGAGGCGAGCGCGATCCACATTTCCAGCAGGCTGCAGCCTGACCTCTGCCGCGCAGCCTTCCTCCCCGATCGGAGGCGACGTGTGTGCGTGTGCGTGTCCCCCGGCCCCGTTTTCTATGCAACCGCGGTTACGTCGGGCGGTGTTTGTTTGTGTGCAATGCGCAGAGCGCTTCTCACCTTCGCCGGGGATCTCCTTTAAAGCAGGCGGGGAAAGGGCGATTTACACTCTCTTCCGAGAACTCTTTTGCCCGCCCTGCGCATCTTGCTTTGGAAGAAGCAAGGAACAAAAACTGGTGCTTGGGATTTCGCTCTTGCAAAGTAAGGTTTGAGATTTGCCTTTTCCCTGAATTTAGCCTGTAGATTTCGGTGCCCTCCCCGCATAATTCCTCACACCTTTCCAGGCCAGTATAATCAGCTTAAAAAGAAAGAGAGTGCAGGCCTATGACTGCCTACTCAGAAGTAAGCCTCACTGAGTTCATTGACACGACCTGGATTATACAGCACACCAAAGGAGATTTCCTCCCGAGGAGAGCACAATCCTATGGTAAAACGCAGTATGGTAAAACACACTGACTTCAGTCGCACTGATTTCTGAATGCACAGAGGCAGGTTTGCAGTGTTGGGTTGCAATGCTGTACGCGTTTATTTTGGATTGTTTATTTGAATTCAGTGGAACTCACTTTCAGGAAAGCATATATAGAATGTCGGTTTAGGGGTTTTTTTGGGGGGGGGAAGGGGCTATTTTTGGGGGGTTGGTTTTTATTTACCTTAAGAACAGCAACGTAGGCAAGAGGCTGGGCAAGACAGAGGTGAAGCTGTCCATCAGATTCAGCGAAGAAGAAAAGTTTTAAATGAGAAGGAAAGCCATTTGTTTACGGCGGAACTTACCTTGAACCTGAGCAAGGGGCAGTGGCGAAGCCCGCTCCTTTGGGTGCCCTGGCCAAGTACCACGGCAGTGAGTGCGGGCGCTTGGTCGCCACGGGCCCCCATTCACCCCCTGGCGGCTTGCGCAAGAGCACCATCAATACCTCGTGTCTGCGCCTTCACCCTTTCCCACCTCCATTTGAAGGGAGATCCGGAGTCGACTTCCTTTCAGCTTTTCTGGAAAGTGGCATCTGGAGCCGTTTCCAAGAGGAACAGCTCGAGGAGGCGCAACCTTACAAATGTTTACTCGGAAGTAAATCCCGCTGTGCAGACTGGGTTTAGGAAGCGTGTTCAGCCTTAAACATTTCCCAGGCCATCCACCCCATCGCAACAATTTAAAAAGAGCCCTCCAAGGAAAGAAAAACCTTGCAGTCCAAAGGCACAAGGAAGCGTTGACAGCGCAAGAGACTTTAAATTCCTTTGGCTGCCGTGCTCCTTTCAGCTCTCCCCGTGGTTCAGTTTCATTCCAGGGGAAAAGCTCCATTCTGCTTTGCTAATGAAAAGGAAACGACTCCAAAACTAGAAGGTGTCGTAATGCAACAGCAACAAACAGTCCCCCACCCGCACCCCACGACCCTTCCCAAGTTTTTATTGCTTTAAAACCAGGATCAGGAAATCAAATGCATATGAAAAGCGTGATGTCCGGCCACAAGCCTTTTGGGGGCATTTGTGTTGGAAATTATTATTTTACAGCAGGATATCCTTTGATATGAACCTTAGGAGCGTTATAGGTGGAGACTTGACTTCCTTACCGATAGAAGCAGGACAAATGGAAGAAAGTTTTTTTTTGGATGTGTTGTTTATTTGTTTTAAAACAGTTTGATAAGTAACTTCAAAAGGTATCTTTGCTCACTTTCAAGGTGGGCCAGGTTTTTGTTTTTGTTTTAAAGTACATCCATTTTTTTTTAAAACGATCCCATGAGAAAGATCTTAAGGTCAACAAATATTTTCAGAATGCCTTCCTTCTGCCGAGTCAGTTCACTTAGCACGCTTTCATTAGAACTTACTCTCGAGTAAGCACTCGAGGTTTAGGATTGTCTGCTCGGTCCCCTATCTCCTTCCTTCTTCCAATAGCGAAAACAAATCCTTACTTTGGTTTTGCAGAGAATCCAGCTATCTTCCCTCTGAGACAAAAGCCTCAACTTTTGGCAAGTAACAGGCTCTTTTGATGACAGTTTAAAAATATATTTACAAGGGCGCCTTTGCACAGATGTTTGTTTTTGCAAAGCTTTGTGAAGAGTTTCAAGCCCCGAGTCAGCCTTTCCACAAAGTTAATGGCCACCAGCAAGTAAAATGCGCCGTTGTAGATGGGGTATTCATGTTTCACTTGGAGCTGAGTTCCGGTGTTCAGTCAGAGGCAACGTGAAAAAGGTGCGGTTTAGGAGTACGTTTTCAAAAGTTGAAGATGATCCTCAGGCAGGCTCGCTTGGGAGTAAATGTGACTTTACTTCTGAGGAGCATACATAGGATTGGACTGCACAGGTAAAGAACGGAGACTCCGCGGCTGAAAAGGAGGCTATGGTGCTGGATTTAAGCACCTTTCTTCACAGCCAGTAGGTATTACAAAGCTACACACCACACAGCAAGAACATTAACAACTTTGGTAAAACTGAACAGTGGGAACGACTTTGATTGACCCAGATCCAAGAAAGCAAGAGACGACACTGGCTTCCTGAATTTCTCTTCTGGGATCCTGAATCCAATAGCAGTTTCCTCAATCGCAAGAGTTGCCTGCCCAGGTTAAGCGCGAGTTTATTCACCACCGACGCACAAGAAGCGTGTTAAGCACAGGTATTTGGACGTAAACTGACGTCGGCTCATCCGCGGTCATTCTGAGCATCCTGGCTTGAAACCTGCGCCCGATCGTATAAGCAGGATTGAAATGGGCACTACTGGGTCTTACCCAGGCTCTTTGCCCTTCATTCGGAAGCAAGTCCCCTCGACGGCGGTCGAACTTGCCCTCAATCGCCGACTCTTGGGGTTGAAGCTCGAAGCAGCAATTCCAAATGCGCTGTTGTCCTTTGTCACCTCCTCTTCCTTCCCAGTTCGCAGCGCGCAGCTACATCGAACTGCCAGGACTCAATTTCCCGGAGTCCCTTTACTGCCGCTTAAGCGGCTTGTGGATCGGGTTCTAAACTACCTGTTGCTTGAGTCGTACTCGCATCGGGGAACCGAAGTCCCGGGGAGGGCAGAGCTGAAGGGCTTCCTCCCGCTGCCCGGTCAGCACCTTGGACAGAGGCAAAGGCGCGTCACCGTCGCCTTTCCGGCTTCTCGACTCCAGTTCCTGGAGGCTGCACAGCTCCGGCTCGAGTCCCCCTTTCCAGGTCACCGAGGCTTCTGTCCGAAAGCGGCACGCGCGTCTTCCTTCTTGCCTGCCTTTTTGCGAATCGCACCTTACCGGGGCTATCATTTTCTCGCTGTTTGTCGGACAAAGGTGTCACCGCAGACAACCTCTTTCATCTGACATTGGACTGAACTCGAAAGAGGAGTCGCGATGCCCAGCCCGCGCGCGCAGCCTGAACTGTTGCAATTCGATGCCTGTTTAGGCAGTGAAAAGTCCTACAACTTCCCCCGTGCCCGAAACAGCAGGAGGACCGATTTTCCTTCCTAAGACTGTGCCCTGACTTGTGATGCTTTTTCCCACAAGACCTTCTCGCAAATTTGGTGTTGAGGGTGCAATGCAATCCCAGTGCATTTTACAGGCTTTCAGAATACATGTCTATTTAGATGAAAGTCCAGTCTCATTCATTCAGTGGGACTTAGGAACTCCTGACTAGATGAGGGTGCAGCTGAACACTCTCAGGAATGGGTCAGGAAAATATCTTATCTTTAAAATGATACCGGTTTAGGGTGCAAACCAGAGCTATATAATAAATCAGATGCTGGCTTCTGGCTGGCTGGAAATAGGGTCATCTGGTGGAGCCAATCCTGCACACAGTGGCTTTACTGTTTCACTCTCACCCCAGTGAGGTTGATGCCATCTCATATACTGAATCAAAGAATAGCAGAGTTGGAAGGGACCAGAATGCCCTCGTGTTCACCCCCATGCTGTTGCAGCGACAAGTTACACCACCAGGAGCCTTCACTGTTTTTGTGCAGACCAAGGAAATGCCTGAACAGGAAAAGGAAACACTCTAGATGGGAGATGTGTCAAAATCAAATCTTAACCAATGTCAAAAAAGCCAACTAATGGTCAACAGCAGCAGTTGCACTGGTCTGTAAGAAAACT